ATGGCAGCATGGCTTAGGTTTGCAAACTTGCATCGGAACAAATCACAAGACTTCTGGAATGCTGTCCTTCGGACAGACAAGAGCAAAGTGGAGATGTTTGGCCATAATGAACAGCGCCACATCTGGCAAAAACCAAACACAGCATATCAGCACAAACATCTCATACCAACCGTCAAGGACGGTGGTGGAGGGGTGATGATTTGGGCTTGTTTTGCAGCCACAGGACCTGGGCACCTTGCAGTAATTGAGTCGACCATGAACTCCTCTGTATACCAAAGTATTCTAGAGTCATATGTGAGGTCATCTGTCCGACAGCTAAAGTTTGGCCGACATTGGGTCATGTAACAGGGCAACGATCCCAAGCACACCAGCAAATCTACAACAGAATGGCTGAAAAAGAAAAAAATCAAGGTGTTCCAATGTCAAAGTCTAGACCTCAACCCGATTGAAATGCTGTGGAGGGACCTCAAGAGAGCTGTGCATAAACTTAGCACAAATGGCCAAATTAACGGATTTAATGAAAGATAAAAATATGGTGGACTTTAAGAAGATATGGCAACCATTTCTTGATTATCTGATGTTAGTTGAGAAAAATGATGTATTGATTACTGGTTTTGTATATTAAAGAACTGTTTAAATAGAAATAATAGTAAAATAGGTAAAACAAAGATAAGAGTTTAAAAGTAACATAATTACTGGTATATTTACAATGTTTGACAGTCGGAAACCACATTTTAAATGATTTTTTTTCTCTCTCTTCTCTTTCTTCTTTCCTTTTCTCTTTTTCTTCTTCCTCTCCTTTCTTTCTTTTTCTTTCTTTTCCTTCTTTTTATATATGTTCTTGTTAGATTTATGTTTGAAGAGTTTAATTTTTTATATTATTTGTTGTATTTAATGTAGTCTGTATATAGCATTTTACAATAAAGATATATAATAACAAAATAGGCTGTTCAGCTCTTTCTGAACTTGCTTTGGTTCAGATAAACTTCTTAAGCAGGTATTTTATGAGCCTTGGTAGAAAAATGTGTCAGCTTTGTGATGGTGGGACTGGTCTGCCAAGCTCACTTTGTAATCTTCTGATATTGTGCTGTTTGCTCTAACCTTTAATAAACTTGTGTTTTAATAAAGGGAAAAAGAGAGAGAGAGAGAGCTGTGCATAAACAAATGCCCACAAACCTCCATGAACTGAAGCAATGTTGTAAAGA